AAACGCTCATAAGTAAAACCTTCATGACTCGATCACTGCATTTGATTCTACTTCACAAGAGATTATATTTTTATAAAAAAAATTATTAAGTCCACCTAATTTCCCAATACATCTTATTAAATTATTTAGAGTTATAATTTACTCTCAATACACTTACTATTTTTTTCCTAAATTATCCTTCAAAATATATCAAAATAATAAAAATACTTAGACAAATTTTTCATTATAACTATTGCTTTTAATCTTACTTCACTCAATTGTCTATAAAACTAAAGCTGATCACCGCAACTACAACTACTCGCCGGCTAAACATGTCTTGTCTTTCCCCCAGAGCACATGCTGAACAAACATAAAAAATTTATTTTTTTTTATCTCAAAATATTAGTTCTTTATTTTATTTTTTATTATATTAAAATATTAATTTATTTTTAAAAATTAAGAAATAAAATAATCTGAATTTACTATTTTACCCTTCTTTTAAATTAATTAATAATATAAAAAATACAATTATGACAATTGATATTTTTAAAAAAAATATACTTACTCTGTTTGGTTTTAGTTTTTAGAATTTACTTTTCAGAAAATTTTTCTTTTTTATTTTCCGTATTTTTTTTGTTTTCATTGATTTTTTTTTGATATTTTAAGCAATTTTTTTAATTTTTAGACACACTCGATATAAATACACTTAAAAAATATAACATTTGTGAAAAAAGCTTTTAAAAAATCACTAAATACTAAAAATAAAAAAAATAAAAAATTCAATACATTTTTCATATTTTTGTATATTTATTAATTTTTAAAATATTTTTTTCACAAATAATTTACTATTTAGATATATCTAAGTAAGGTGTATCTAAAAAAATAAAAAAATACGAAAAACAAAAAATTCAATTTTCAAAAAACTGAATTAAAAAAACTAAAATCAAACACACTAATTATCAAAGGGTAATTTTGAAAAAAATAATATTTTTTTAAATATAATAATCGTACTATAAAAAAAATTAAATTCTTTAAAAGAGATCATTATTTTGGAACTAACGGAGTATTACATTTGGGTATGGCTTCTGTCCAGTCCAGGATCGAACTGAACCGTGCTGTTGGGTCCGTGGGGGCCCACCATAGGTCCCATTTTGATAATATGAACCGTTTAATGTGTATAACTCGTCGAGTACTATATGCCTGTAAAAAAATCACGTTGATCGGACATCGATAGCTATATGATCAAATCAGTTTCGTATTAAAAAAATTGGACGGTGAACAAATTAACGGTTGACAAAAAATTGTTTTGATCACATAGCTATCGATATCCGATCAACGTAATTTTTTACAAATGTATAGTACTCGACGATTTCTACATATTGAACGGTTCAGATTATCAAAACGGGACCCGTGATGAGCCCCCACGGGCCCAATAGCACGGTCCAATCCGATCCCGGATTGGACAGAAGCCATACCCATTACATTTAACCCTAACTCATTTTATTGTATGTGTATATGTTGCCAGACAAACATGGTATCTAATGATTGCTTCCCTCAGCTTTGAATGAAATTGAGATACAAATTCTTTAACGCTATGTTTGGGTTGAGTGATTTGGAGATAAATAAAAGAAATATAGCGATTTGTATTTCTCTTATTTGTCTGGATAACTTAAGGGAGAAAAATGGGAGAAATGAAAAGAAACGAAGAGAAACTCATTTATCTTATAATCCTCATATTCAATCTTCCCAAAAGTAGAGAGATTGTGAGAGAAAATAAATCAATATTTTCATAATACCAATATTGTCCCCCGTAAAAATAACCAAGTTTGAAACAAAAACAACCCGAAGGAGTCGTAATAACAAAACCACAATTATATTGATAATAGCTAGCACGATATTTATACAGACAGGTTCTTGTGTACATATTACAGATTGATTAGTCCCTTGCTTTGTTAATGCTAACAATATAGTGTAATATATTGTTTGTTTTCATTTCATTGTCAAAACAAATAACAACATAATAAGAACTAATAATGTTGGGGATAATAGAAAATTTTGGCAGGGTAAATTATAGTTTTGGAGGGAGAAAGAAAATGAAGAAAAAAATAATTGAAACTTGAAAAAGAAGATTAAGATAATTAAATATGAAAATAAACATAAATAATTTTGGTATATCATGAAAAAATAATATTAATATTTTATTTTAAAATTTAGGACAAAACACCAATAAATCTCAAATTTTAATTTATTGAACCATTTGGTCCTATCTTTTATTTTGTAGACTGATAAATCCTGTTTAAATGTTAATTACGTATATACCCATTTATTTAACACGTAATTTTTTTTTTGATAGAGGGAAAATGTAAGTTTTTACTGATGTTGATATGACAAAAATACCCAAAAAGCTTACTATAGGCTTTTTTATAATTTCCCTCCTTTCCGAACGTCAACTACATCAACAACATCATCAAACATCATCACCATCAACTACATCATCAAAACATCAAAAAAAATAACAACATCATCAAAACATCATCAAACATCAACTACATCATCAACAACGTGAACATCATCAAACATCATCATCATCAAAACATCAGCAACATAATCAAACCATTATGAACATCATCAGAACATCAGCAACATTATCAACATTGTGAACATTGTGAACATCATCAAACATCAACTACATCATCAATATCGTGAACATTATCAAACATCAACTACATCATCAAACATCATCATCATCAACTACATCATCAAACATCATCATCATCGTGAACATCAACTACAACAGGGAAAACCAAACCCTCTGTGGCGGCGGCCTGGGGGGGTGAAACCAAACCCTCTGTCTCTCCTCCTCTCTATTCTCTCTCTTCTTCACAATTGTCCTCACCGTCCTCCACTCCACTCCGCTACCTCTTTCCCCCACTCGCTAACAGTGTTGCCGCCTCTTTCTTAACGAATCTAAGCAAATCAGATTTGTACTTCCCTCAAATCAGATCGAATAAAATCTGTCGCTGTCGCCTTGTTCCTCTATCGGCGGTGTCGCCGTCGCTGGTATGGCTCCCCACGGCTATGCCGTCGTCGCCTCGGTTTCTCTTTCTCCTCTGCTGGCGCCGCTTCGTCTAGATCGTTTCTTCGTCTTCAAGTTCAAGTTCCAGATCGGCCTTTTTAGTCATCTCCATCTCTCTCTGAATCTCTCTCTTTATATATATATATATATATGTTGTGAACAGTTTTCAATAAAGATGACGGACCACGGCTGTCTTCTTTCGGTCGAAGCACTAGACGGACTCTATTGGAGGAGCTGCCATTGTTGGAAAGATTAAGAGACCTGCAAAATGAAATCAATATGGATAAAAATGTAAACTCCATATACAATATATCAAAAACATATATCATACCAAAAATAAAAAAGACTAAATGGTTTAAGAAAAAACACTTAGGACTAACTAGAGCAACATTTACCAAAATGGGATTTATGAGTAATTTTTTCTAAAATTTAATATATATTATCTTTATTAATAAATTTATATTAAGTTATAATAGAAATAAATTTTTTAAATTTTAATTAGATATACCAGTTATTATTTGGGTGCAATAAAATCACCCAGTCCACAATCAGATACAGCTAACAATAGGCCCAAGGGGCCCAAACCCTAAATCAGAGTCGGTGGTTTAAACAATGTCGTTTTTATAGTAAACAGACTTTAGGCGGTTACACTGGACTATAAAAACCACGATAATAAGCAAAAAACCCTAGCCTTGCCTCTTTGCTTGACACTATTTTAGTTGCGCAGAGAGAGAGAGAAAGAGAGGATGAAGTACAATCTTAGGGTTTCGAGCTCCCAATGGAAGAACAGGAAGGCTCACTTCACGGCGCTGTCGATCGTTCGCCGTGCCCTGATGAGTTCGCGGCTCTCTTTGGAACTCCGGTCCAAGTACAGCGTCCGGTTGATGCCGGTTCTCAAGGACGACGAGGTTCAGGTCGTCAGAGGAACCTTCAAGGGCCGCGAGGGCAAGGCGGTGCAAGTGTACCTCAAGAAGTGGGTGATCCACATCGAGCACATCACTCGAGAGAAGGTTAATGGCTCCATCGCCAACGTCGGAATCAATCCTTCCAAGGTTCTCATCACCAAGCTCCGCCTCGATAAGGATCGCAAGACCAAGGGTCGCACCGCCGCCGATAAGGACAAGGGCACTAAGTTCATCGCCGAGGACATCATGCAGAACGTCGATTGATGAGATCTATTGATATTTTGTTTTTACTATAGATTTCTTCCTGTTTTTGATTGATTTTGAGATGAGCATTGAATCACTGACTTGGAAATTAGGGTTTTGTATGATTTTTTATAAAAATTATTTATGGGCATTTTAATTTTGTCTTACTTAAATCAGTCATATTGTGTGCAAAGAGGGTAGGTGCCATGTAGTACCTTCATCTTCTCTCATTGGTTGAGAGTGTGGGGCTACATTTATGTTTTGGGTGATGGAGAGCAACATGGGGGCCATGGTGTTTGTGATTGGTTGAAGTCATGTAGCATGCCACATGGTACCCTCCTAGTACCCAAGAATTTTTCATGATAGGTATTATAGACCTACCTTCTCCCTCATTAATGTTCTTGAGCAAGGGATACATTATATTTATTTGTTAAGTTTCTTTATGAATAAACTTGTTAATAGCTGCACACGGTAATCATCTGAAGCTATGTCCGATTGTGTAATTCATATATTTGGGTTGTGATCTGGTTGACAGAACATTTTGTTTTTTTAAAATGATTTTTTGGTGGTTGTTTTAGTTGCTGTTCTTTAGCTCCCTGTAAAACACTGTTGAAAAAACCATGATTCCTGCTCAAGGGCCCAAGATGGTGAGGGTACTCGACTCGCCTTTTTGATATATACATTTTGTTGCCTGCCTGTGTTTACACAGAAAATACTACTACACCCATGAATGTGTTTTTTTGTGCATATATATATATATATATGTATGTATAAATCAGACTATATATCTGAAGAGAAGGTGTGATGATGAGTTTACAATAATCTCGTTAATCTGATAATTTGTGAGGATGATTTTATAATCCATTCCAAACACACTGAGCACCTTCTCATATATTTTGTTTCTCACCTATGCCACTAATCTTGGCTGATCTTGTATTTTCAGTCTTCATTTTGATTTGAGTCACCTATATATATGTATGTATAAATCAATCTATATATCTGAAGAGAAGGTGTGATGATGAGTTTACAATAATCTCGTTAATCTGATAATTTGTGAGGACGATTTTATAATCCATTCCAAACACATTGAGCGCCTTCTCATATATTCTGTTTCTCACCAACGCCACTAATCTTGGCTGTTCTTGTATTTTCAATTTTCATTTTGATTTGAGTCACCGATGAACTGATTATTTGACTCATTTAAATGACTTAGGTCCTTTGGATAAAAGCTAAACTACGGTAGTTTAAAAATTACCAATTATTTTTTGAGAGGAGAAACATTTTATATCTAGGAAGTATGGCCTGCAACTTAACTCGAAGTATTTGAACCAGTATTTTGACTCGAGTGTGTGCCTGTATTAGTTAGTTTTTATGTTTTCAGGAATGGATCCATGTTCTAATTTATGCTTTTGCTACCTTATATCTGGTGCGATTATAATGTGGTATGAACATTGAAATGCTTGCTTCCTACGTATGAGAACCTCTCATTGACTATTAAGAACATTCCAAGTTCTGAAATCTGTAATTGTCTTGGGTAATACATTACGTGATAGTTTTTCATCTCTAATTTCTACTGACATTTACTTGTGTGTAGTGCTGCAACATCTACTTATTCCTCTTCCTGGTTGTGTTGTCATTTGAACCTTAGTTTGTATTTATTTCAACTTCTGATAGAACTAGCTTGTATGTTGGGTATTGAATATGCTCTATTTTGCATAATTCATAAAGTTTTAGACGGTTAGTTTTTGCATGTGTTTTTGTTAATGTGGTTATTTATTTTCTCTCTATATTTCTAGATCTTCTTGTATGGTAAATTTCGTTTATATTTTAGATACATCCAGTTGCATTATTACTTCCCTATTAATGAATTTCATCAACTGATGATGTTTTCATCATGATTTGTAATTGTTGAATGTCCCTTCTATCTGTTTAGATTGTTGCTCAATGAATGTTTTTAGTTGTTTGGGTTCCTAAATACAATTATCTAACCCTAGATTTAGTGATTTTAATGATGATGTTGACTAGTGGTTGTTACTTTTACGTCGTAGTCTCATAGAATAGCTGACTTGTTTCTTGCATTGGTTTTTCAATGCGATTGATCAATTTGTTAGAATGCATTTTTCTTTAACGTGATGCCGCTATTGATCGAGGATTTGATATTCAAGCTATGAACAATCTTTTGCTACACTATGTGAGACTTGCAGATTTATGTTTTATATTGATATGCAATTCATGGTTGATGTGGCTCTTTGTTTTGAAAAGTAACAACGTCATATGTATAAATCAATCTATATATTTGAAGAGAAGGTGTGATGACGAGTTTACAATAATCTTGTTAATCTGATAATTTGTGAGGACGATTTTATAATCCATTCCAAACACACTGAGTGCCTTCTCATATATTTTGTTTCTCACCAACGCCACTAATCTTGGCTGTTCTTGTACTTTTAGTTTTCATTTTGATTTGATTCACCGATGAACTGATTATTTGACTCATTTAAATGACTTAGGTCCCTTGGATAAAAGCTAAACTATGGTAGTTTAAAAATTACAAATCATTTTTTCAGAGGAGAAACATTTTATATTTGGGGAGTATGGCCTGCAACTTAACTCGAAGTAGTTGAACCAGTATTTTGACACGAGTGTGTGCCTGCATTATTTAGTTTTTATGTTTTCAGGAATGGATCCATGTTCTAATTTATGCTTTCGCTGGCTTATAGCTGGTGCGATTATAACGTGGTATAAACATTAAAATGCTTGCTTCTTGCGTGTGAGAAGCTCTCGTTGACTATTAAGAACATTCCAAGTTCTGAAACCTGTAATTGTCTTAGGTAATACGTTACCTGATAGTCTTCCATCTCTAATTTTTACTAACATTTACTAACATTTACTTGTGTGTAATGCTGCACCATCTACCTATTCCTTTTCCTGGTTGTGTTGTCATTTGGACCTTAGTTTGTATTTATTTCAACTTCTCCTACAACTAGCTTGTATGTTAGGTATTGAATATGCTCTATTTTGCATAATTCATAAAGTTTTAGATGGCTAGTTTTTGCTTGTGCTTTTTTTAATGTGATTATAGATCTTCTTTTATGTGGTAAAATTCATTTATATTTTAAATGCATCCCGTTGCATAATTACTTCCCTTTTAATGAACTTTATCAACTGATGATGTTTTCATCATGATTTGTAATTGTTGAATGTCCCTTCTATCGACTTAGATTGTTGCTCAGTGAATGTTTTTAGTTGTTTGGGTTCCTAAATATAATTATCTAACCCTAGATTTAGTGGATTTTAATCATGTTGTTGACTAGTGGTTGTTCCTTTTACGTGGTAGTCTCATAGTAGAGCTGACTTGTGTTTTGTCTTGGTTTTTCAATGCGATTGATCAATTTATTAGAATGCATTTTCCTTTAACCTGATGCCACTATTGATCGAGGATTGGATATTCAAACTATGAACAATCTTTTGCTGCACTATATGAGACTTGGAGATTTATGTTTTATATTGATATGTAATTCATGTAGCCAACCCTATTTGATAGGACGTAAGGTTTGGTTTGGTTTAGTTTGGTTTATTGATATGCAATTCATGGTTGATGTGGCTCTTTGTTTGGAAAAGCAACAACATCATATGTATAAATCAATCTATATATTTGAAGAGAAGGTGCGATGATGAGTTTACAATGATCTTGTTAATCTAATAATTTGTGAGGATGATTTTATAATCCATTCCAAACACATTGAGCGCCTTCTCAGATATTCTATTTCTCAGCAACGCCACTAATCTTGGCTGTTCCTATATTTTTAGTTTTCATTTTGATTTGAGCCAGCGATGAACTGATTATTTGACTCATTTAAATGAGTTGGGTCCATTGGATAAAAGATAAACTATGGTAGTTTAAAAATTACCAATTATTTTTTGAGAGGATAAACATTTTATATTTGGGTAGTATGGCCTGCAACTTAACTCGAAATAGTTCAACCAGTATTTTGACACGAGTGTGTGCCTGCATTATTTAGTTTTTATGTTTTCAGGAATGGATCCATGTTCTAATTTATGCTTTTGCTGGCTTATATCTGGTGCGATTATAATGTGGTATGAACATTGAAATGCTTGCTTCCTGTATGTCAGAAGCTTTTATTGACTATTAAGAACATTCCAAGTTCTGAAATCTGTAATTGTCTTGGGTAATACATTACCTAATAGTTTTCCGTCTCTAATTTCTACTGACATTTACTTGTGTAATGTTGCACTATCTACCTATTCCTCTTCCTGGTTGTGTTGTCATTTGGACCTTAGTTTGTATTTATTTCAACTTCTCATAGAACTAGTTTGTATGCTGGGTATTGAATATGCTCTATTCTGCATAATTCATAAAATTTTAGATGGTTATTTTTTGCTTGTGCTTTTGTTAATGTGATTATTTATTTTGTCTTTGTATTTCTAGATCTTCTTGTGTGTGGTAAATTTCTTTTATATTTTAGATACATCCCATTGCATAATTACTTCCCTTTTAATGAACTTCATCAACTAATGAACTTCTATATGCTTAGATTGTTGCTCAGTGAATGTTTTTAGTTGTTTAGGTTCCTAAATATAATTATCTAACCCTAGATTTTGTCGATTTTAATGATGTTGACTAGTGGTTGTTCCTTTTACGTGGTAGTGTCATAGCAGAGCTGACTTGTGTTTCGTCTTGGTTTTTCAATGCGATTGATCAATTTGTTAGAATGCATTTTCGTTTAACCTGATGTCGTTATTGATCAAGGATTTGATATTCAAACTATGAACAATCTTTTGCTGTACTATGTGAGACTTGGAGCTTTAAGTTTTATATTGACATGCAATTCATGGTTGATTTGGCTCTTTGTTTTGAAAACCAACTAGATCATATGTATAAATCAATCTATATATTTGAAGAGAAGGTGCGATGAAGAGTTTACAATAATCTTGTTAATTTGATAATTTGTGAGGACGATTTTATAATCCATTGCAAACACACTGAGCACCTTCTCATATATTTTGTTTCTCACCAACGCCACTAATCTTGGCTGTTCCTGTATTTTCAGTTTTCATTTTGATTTGAGTCACCGATGAACTGATTATTTGACCCATTTAAATGAGTTGGGTCCCTTGGATAAAAGCTAAACTATGGTAGTTTAAAAATTACCAATTATTTTTTGAGAAGATAAACATTTTATATCTGGGGAGTATGGCCTGCAACTTAACTCGAAGTAGTTGAACCAGTATTTTGACACGAGGGTGTGCCTGCATTATTTAGTTTTTATGTTTTTAGGAATGGATCCATGTTCTAATTTATGCTTTTATTGGCTTATATCGGTGCGATTATAATGTGCTATGAACATTGAAATGGTTGCTTCCTACGTATGAGAAGCTCTCATTTACTATTAAGAACATTCCAAGTTCTGAAACTTGTAATTGACTTGGGTAATACATTACATGACAGTTTTCTATCTCTAATTTCTGCTGACATTTACTTGTGTGTAATGCTATTGTAGACACCTCATTTTTGACCACCCTTAAGACTTGGGCGCTACTAATTGCTTACTTGATGGTGCAGGCTATGTTATGCAAAGGTTTGATTTCTTTGGCAAGGAGAGCGTCAAATCCCAACCTCACACCCCATTTTTGGACCAAAATGATTTTAGACCTTAAAACCCTCTCTTTCAAAATATTTTTGGAAACAAAGTTCCTATGATGTTTCGAGGCTCGCATTTCGTTAAATGTTACGCTTTTCGATAAACCGAGGAAGGACAAAGTGGGAATACATGAAAGAGAGGTAAACTCTTTGAAAATATTTCAACACACCTTGGTTAGAGGTTTGGAGTTAAAGAAAATTGGAGGGGAGAGAAGAAAC